TGTAGTTAAGAGTCCTGTGATGATGGATGCTGCAGTGCAAGCCGAAGCTCCTAATCATCAAAATCCTCATAATCCTCATGAAAGTGGGAAATTACATGAGAAGCTTGATGAAATCTTAGCCATTCTTAGGGGACAGCAGCAGTGTGACCGATCAATAAGTGCCAGTGAGGTGTACAGATGGGCAGTGAACAATGTGCCAAATGGCAGCACCATCCAGACCACACCATCCATTACAATCATCCCACCAGAGGAACCAACATCAACCCCAGTTATCCAAGAAATAGCTGTTAAAACCATGAACATTCCAACCATTGTAAGTGAACTTTCACCAATCAACAATTCAGAGAACTGCCGAAGAGAAAATACAAATGAAGATGAAGACACCACCACTACTGCCAATCCACCACCAACAAAGAGAGCCCTTTTCTCAACCACAACCACCTCATACAGTGACCGAACGCCATTGAGAGAGTTACCGGAAAACAGGAAGAGAAAAAGGACTCTTATTCCCAGCTGCCCATCCAACCACACTGTAAAGGAAATCTCGTGTCCTGACGACATCGAGCCAGGAAGACTGGAGTTCAGAATAAGGAGGGACGTTCTGGAAAAACTAAAGGGTTCATCATGTTCCGAGGGTAACTTTATGTGGAATGTGGCTAAAACAGTTTATCATGATTGGGAGTTGAGGGGCCGAAACGTGTTTGGAAGAAAAAGTCGGGATCCACTTTCTCCGAGACGAGTTCATTTGATGGAACACATCTATATTGATTATTGTGGAGATGACTTTGATGCATATGTGAAAGCCATGGGCGCCATCAACAGTGGTATCCGTTCAATTTCCAGGAAGTGATTTTTCAGTGAATCTGTGAACATGTGATGATCCTTCCTTTATTTATGAAATGGACTTTTGAATCTGCGTTACCAATCGTAAAAAGCATTACAAGCATAAACTTTTTGTTTTCCTGAAAACCATGTCTTTATACTATAATGCTACATGTGTAGTTTGTGTACCAGTATGTTCATTTTAGATTATTTATTATTTGAATCTAACCAGAGCTTTAATGATATTGGGTTATTTAATGCTACAAGTATGTGAAAGCCACAGACATCATCAACAGTGAATCTGTGTACATGTTATGATCCTTCCTATTTTTAGATGGATTTTTGTATAGTAAAATAAAATGTTTCCAGCATAAATATTTTGTTTTTCTCGAAAGGAAATCACTGATTATGATTTTTTTAATTGTATCACTACATGTGTTTATTGTAAATTATTTATTATTTGAATCTTACTAGAGCATAATATTGGATTTAATACTATCAGTGTGTTTGTATTGATGATAATTTATTTATTGTAAGAAAGTGTCTGTAATACTTTGATACTTAGAGTTAGTAATAAATCATCAAAAACTTTGCAACTGGTGTTTTTTGTAAGTTATCCTATTTTTTTTCTATACAGTATAAGGGTATTTCAAGTTTTCTTTCAATGTTTAGTGTCCACATTAAAAACAGAAGTTTTGCAAATCACTCAATCAGATAATCAAAATCAGGAAATAGAATTACAATTTTCAAGAAATTTCTCAGCAACAATTGAAAATTTTCTTCATGTTCTCAGTGTATATTAATTTCTAAATCTTAAGAATGAATTTTAAAGAAGGAAAACCCAATCCCTGAGTCTCCAGGTCTTACCTCAAAACTAATCTGTCTGTGGACACTAAACAAGGAAACAAAATTGGGATATGCCTAAAATTTTCATTTAAATTCATTTTTCATCTGACATCATTTATTTGTAAACCTGTTTTCTTTCAAAAAGAATCTTAAAATTATTGATCACTCTTATTTTAAGCAGCCATTCATATTGATTCTGAGCATTTCTTTCATTTTAAGCAATATCAAGCTTGCCATTTTTACCATTAGGTTTTTTAATAGCTTTAAGGGACATAAACACAGTTTCTTCTGAATTTTCAAAACGAATTTTAATGTTAACTATGCCTAACTTAGGCAATTCTTATGATCATCCTAGTGCTATGGACCAACGGCCTGGATTAAGGATCATGAAACACCTTAAGCTTAAGTCAAAATCTAACTTAACTGTTCGAGACAGAAATAAAAGTATTTGTAAATATAATTGTTTACAAAATTATGTTATCGGTAACATGACGTGTGAATTTAAACATTGTTTCAAAAACCAGAATAAAGAAATTAACATTACGTACGGTTGAAAAATTATGACTTTAGTCTAAGTCTGTTTTATGATCCTATGGCAAAGTGTCTTTTCTATGAGCACAATTACAAATTGTGTACATAAAAAAAGCCTGCAGAAAGATAGACAACACACACAATTTTGAAGAAATTTTGCAAACATTTAATATTCACTTTTAAAAGCATTGGAGTGCAAATGGAAGGAATAAAATAATACAAGTACTCATAACAATTTGATTTATTACAATAAACTTGTTAGTATTATCCATCCCTTTCTCTCACAAAATGGACTTTGGGAATTCAAGTCAATGTCACAAAACATTTTTTTCCCACATGTCAAACTTTCTTTGTATAGAATGCCAAGATAAATATCAAAAGAAAAGCAATAAGATTTCAAGTCTTCATTGTCACTGAATGAATAAATGGCAAAGTTTTCATTTTTTATCTTGGACATGGTAACTTTAACATGCTAGATGTGTCTACATTAATTATCACAATGTATGGAATCACATGGTAAACACAATGAATTTGGTCTATCCTATAAAGTCCGCAATGTTCAGCTTTAAGGGACTGACTCCCAGAATACTTGGATTTCACTAAATGTGTAATGGCACAGTTTTTGTTGTTTCTAAGGTCATTGTACTATTAAAATCCAGAGGCGTCTCCACCATTCAACACTACGTACGGAATCACACGATGAATATGATCAATGTAACGTCCGCACTGTTCAGCAGTAAGGGACTCCCAGAACACTTGGATTCCTCTCACTAGCTCATCTCTGGTTCTCGGCTTGTGGACATTTGCGAGGTATTGCTTCATAGAAGCCCTTACATTTTCTATAGGGTTGAGGTCAGGAGAGGATGCTGGTGACTTCATGATGTTATCGAGAATGTTGTTCTCTTCCATCCATGCTCTGGTGGACTTGGATGTATGTTTACTGTCGTTGTCCTGCATAGAAATGAAATAATTATTTTAAGTTTCAGATTCCCTGATTAAGCATTTTTCTTCCTATCTATGTGCCTTTAATATCTTAAATGTCAAGCTACAAATATCAACAGACAATATTTATTGCTGTTTTTTTCTGTACAGATGTAATCAACTTGTTGGTTACCTGATATAACCGATAGCCATCAGGAAACTTCTCATCTGTAAAAGGCAGCAGATTATCCTTAAGAATCTGTTGGTATATCACAGAGTCCATGATGCCATTGAAAATGCAAATGCTCGTTCTCCCTCTATAAGAAATCCCTGCCCAAACATTAACCTGTTAAGAAACAAAATGTGTTAATATTTTGGACGTAAATATGCCTTTTTTGCTCACACAAACACCATTTTCAAAACACAAGTATCAACATGTTCAATGTTGATGAAAATAAATTAAAATTGAATTAAAATATTAGTTAATTAAAAACTGAGTTTGGAAATATTGGCAGGAAGACTTCACTTCATTTTATTGAATATGATTTTTTTTTAAATATTGTGTTACCTTGTAGGCATGTTTCGGTTTGGGTACACGGTCACATTTCTTTTGAATATCTGATGACTTCTGGTGGAAAATCAGCCTGCCACTTGAGCACATCTCCACACAGCTTTCATCAACAAAGATAACATTTCTGAAATCTTCTTTCCGCGATAAGGAATCCATACACCATTGCATCCGTACCTATAGAAATATCAAATAATAATCATGAAAAGCTTTTAAAATTGTAATATAACTAGGCCTTCCACAAATTACAGAAATAATCTACATTTATAAGCTTTAGTAATATTACTATACTTTCTATAACACTTTAGCACTAGACTTTGGGGTTGATAAAAACATTGTTTTTGTCTTTACTCTTCTGTAGACAGTAGAGCCACCAAAATTTAAACTAAGAACTTAGTATTAAATGAAAACACAAAATCATACACTAACACAAATTTTAAAAACATATTAGGAGACAGTGATTTGGTGAGATATTCATACGAACCTTCTTATTCTTTTTGCTGATCAGCTGACAGTTTTTGTTGCTTGAGTGCGCCTTCCAGCCAAGGTTTAACCTTCTCCTCTTGCAAATCAAACTAGTAGACACATTGACACCAAAAGTCTCAAACATACGTCTCTGTAGTTCTACAGCCTTAAGTTCTTGATTAGCATACATCCACGAATCCAAAAACTTGAGATGCAATGTCTTTAACTTCACTGAATGCGGTTTAACATCTCGGCGTTTTCTTCGTAAGAGTCCAGTATAACTATGTCGCCTCAGAAAGTTATAAACAGCTATCCGTGAAAATTTCACACCGTCCTCTTTCCATAGAATACGTATAACATTCTGCACTGAAGTTTGGTTCGCACGAAGGTCTAAAATCTTCAATTTCAATCGCACCGAAAGTCTCCCTCCTTTACTGCCTTCCGCCATCTTTAAATCTGAACATTCCGAAAAATTTTCACAAAACGAAAAAAGTTAAACGATCGCACACGATTGAAAACGCACACGAACGATTCTGATACACGAACGATCGCGCACGTTTAACGAACGATCGCGCACGTTAAACGAACGATTCTACACGATCGGTTTGTCAACAATAACGTTCCAGCCACTGTACCAGTGATAATTGTCTCAGAAATACATGTTTTATAACATCGTTGTAATAAGTGCCAATGTAAAATTAATTTCATCTTTTGCATAAAATATTACATAACAAGTCTTTTGCAAAAGGTAATTAAACTTAAAGAAGTTAGCTTAATAAAACAAAAATCTGATGATGGTGTCTTTTAAATGATGGTTTCATTATATGAAATACCCTGGCATGCCTACCTTATACTGTCTGTTACTTTTTTCCCAATGAGTCGCTACAATCAGGACTGTTGGTTTGGTGTCATTTACATTGTCAGAACCACAGTATGTGTGTATAGACCTGATCCAAAACGCGAAGTAGTCTAAAATAAATAAATACTTTATTTATAAAACAAATTCTCAGTACTTTTGATTACAGGAACCAACTCCTTTAAAGAATGATACAAACTTGATGTCTAGCGCACAGGAAAATGTGTGAAGTTAAAGAATATATATATATTTTTTTTTCAGATGAAAAAAAATTAAAACCATATATTGTAAATTAAAATAATTTTTTGAACTTCAAGAATTTTACCTTTTACGAGAAATACAAGTAGAAGGAAAAAAGAGATGTTTCAACAACTTAAAAGGTCTGGGCCATCAAAAATGTACACACATCTTTCTTGATCTTTTGTAGAAAGGATCACGTTGTAAAATGCTTATTATGAAGACCGTTTTGGAAATTCATAGAGGGCAAATATACATTAATGATCAAATATAAAAGAAGATGTGAAGCTTAAATCATTTATACTTCCATATGTCCATCCGCTGAAAACACTACCATTTTGATCACAAACTTCCTTATCCACCTTCTGGTCAAGACGTTTAGAGGCGTCCACCACCACAACATAGAAAGCTCTCCTGGTCAGGTAAATCTGGTGACAGGCGTAGTACGCACACTGTCCCCCAAAGTCAAACATCGTCAGAGTATTTGTTTCAACATTTGTGGAATTATTTTCTTTACTTTTGCTATCCTTATGTGCTGATTTCACTGAAAATATATCAAAATAATGTATGGTTTCTTGTCAGGTATTATCTCCTTGTTTAGTCAGTGTTAGCTTCATTATAAACAGCATTTAAATGTACTTGAAATATCACTAATTGGGGATTAATCAGCATTGTTGAAAAGCACGCTACATCCTACAACTAAACTGAAAAACATAATTGAAAATACTAATTTTTAACCTCAAAGAGGGAGGAATCGAAATTAAATTATAGTTCCGAAAATCAAAATCAACATATTTACATTTGCTGATATCTTTCCTCATACATGTATAACAATGATAATAAAATTAAAATTCAATTTTCGATGACATGCAGGAGGTCACATAATCAGACTTTCTTGCGTATGGAAAGGAAACTGCACAAGCAATTTGGAAAGTTTCGACTATGATGTCATATGACTTTGTAATGTATAACGTTGCATTTCAAAATCAAAGTCTTATAATGCCTATATTTCTTTGTAACATGAATGAAAACGTGAAACATAGATATAACAAATAAGATATCATTTTTTTTAGAGTTTCATTGGGGTATGACATGAAGTCGGTACGTGATCAAATCTACTATAACGCCCTTTTCTAGAGTCGCGAAGTAAGGAGTCGATCCTTACGTCGCGGGTTCGAATCCCACTGCGGGACGTAGAGACCGGTCCTTCGGATGAGACTGTATAAACCGAGGCCCCGTGTCGCAGTAGGTGCTGGCACGATAAAGATCCTTCAATGCTCAAAGGCCCTGAGTGCTGAGCATAGGACAAAATTTGTAGCCCTCCACCGGCAAGTGGTGGCGTCTCCATATGAGTGAAAAATTCTTGAGAGGGAAGTTCAACAATATACAATCTTCTTTAACGTAACCAACATCAAATAAATAATATGTTTTACGTTGTGACCGTTGGGGAAAGCGCAGTTTATTTACTATCATAAACCTACACATGTAGTGTCTATCATTCAAGAAAAAGAAAGAAAAAAGAATAAAACAAAACAATAAAAAGTAATCATTTCCCAAGCCTCGGGATCGATATTCCAAACTTCTCGGAAGTTTCCGACAAAATCGGAAATACCCGAACCGTTGAAGTGACGAAAGTATGACGTCAGATAAAAAGTTCTGTTGACTTAGGACGCAAACGAAAGTTTTATGGAAAAGAGATTGCATTAAATCGTTCTTTTCAAGTAAGTTGTTGCTTTATTTTAGCCACCATGTTGCTATGCACCGCAACATCAGAGTTTCACGGAAGCAACCGATATGACTTCGTCAAAATTCGTAAGTTTCCGGTGACGTCATTTGTTTCATTTCCGAAGGGCAAGGTGAAAGCCGGTGTTGTGGCATGGGGGTATTTTTTTGAATAAGGTAAGGCAAAGTCATTTCGTTAAGATTTTGGTAAGAAACAATGTTCCTTTAATTTTTAAGGTCTTCCGTCTTCAGCGGAAGACCTTCTTGTTATTCGTTTGTTTCTTTTCCACTGTTTTTCTTATTATTTTTTTTCTCCCCGATTTTGTGCACGCGATTTCTCGAAAACGGCTCGTTAGATTTTTATGAATCTTTCAGGTCTGATAGAACATATTAAAAACTTGATGCATTTTTTTCATTTTGATGACGTCACTTACGGTTCGAAAATTTTCGCAATTTTGTGATTTTTAAGGGTCATTTTGTCCGTCGCTCTTCTTAAAAATCGCTCATCACAGGAAGATGAAAGCTTGTCTGGAAGATAGAGCAACAAATGTAGATTTGCACTGTGTTGTTAACTTTCACCGGAAGTACTGCACGTTAACGCTCGGTATGGTCTGAAAAAAGCCATATTGAGCGTTTCAAAATTTTTTACACTTTTTCTATTATATCTTTTTACTTGTAAATATTTTGTTAAGACATATAGAACAAAAATTGTGAAGAATTCTAAGATCTTTCAAATGATATCTCAAAAAAAGGGCTGACCCCTAAAATTAGGGATCTAGAGGGGCCAAAAATTTTTACTTGATATCTCGAAAAGTATTGAGAATTTGTAATACTTCAAAGAAGCAAAGTTGTTCAAAATGACAAGTTTAATCTATTTGACTCGTCAAAATACGTCCGGCGTCGTCACTTCCGGCCAAACCGGAAGTAGTCAAAAACGCGTATTTTTGCCGTTCTTTTCAAGTTTTTTGGTAACATTTGTCTCTTGGAGCATAAAAATTAATTTTCCGTCCGTCATCGTCACTTCCGGTTAAACCGGAAGTAGCAAAAATTGCTTATTTTTGCATTAATTAACATAGATTTAGAGGATTCAAACTATTTCTAGGCGTTATTTCTCATTTTTGTTGAAAATGAAAGCTACTTCCGGTCAAACAGGACGGAAGACCTACTCGTTGCTTTGCAACGAGCTTTGCTCTAGTTTTTACTATTTTTGATTTATTCGCGCAAAGGACATTGGGTAGTGCAGGAATTCTGGGAATGTTGTACAGAGAAATTTGGCTGACGTATGTACAGATTTCAATCCGAATTTCCTCGGCTAATACACGTTAGTCTATTGAGCTCGCTGCGCTCGTTATTATCTTGATTTTGATAAATTATCATCAGACAGCCACTTGATTCAAATAAGGCCAGAGTCTTTTTTATTTTCTGTTTAACGGGAAGCGCCGACCCAATTTCTTCAAAATGCCGAATAAAAATAAAAGAGGTCAATTTCACTTTTATTTTTAAAATTCCCGCCGACTGTGTCATTCATTGATGGTTTGAAATAAAATCGGGTTTGATGTACACCTTATTTCTAAAGAATCATGTAAATGTTTGACATACAGTGCAGGGAACTAATTTTGTTACATAAACCAGCATCAGAATCAGCATAAGTAGGATCAGGATAGAACTAGCATCAGCATCAGCATTAAAAAAAAAGCATTACTTGGATCAGCATCAGCAAGCAAAGGATAGAACTAGCATTGACCAAAGTGAAAACAGATAAAGGAAAGTCATTTAATACAAATTACAAATAAAAATTACCCCAAAAATTATTTTTAATGGCTTAAAATAGCGATGCTATTTTTGAATTATCCACTTCCGGCAGGATAATCCTACTTTCGGTAGCATTACTAGCATTGACCTAGTTTCAAACCAGCATCAGGATAAGGATCAAACCAGGATCAGGATAAGGATAACTAGCATCAAAATCAGCAAGCAAAGGAAGCATCAAAATCAGCAAGCATAGGAAGCACCAAAATCAGCATTGATGCTGTAACAAAATTTTTTCCCTGCACTGTAGCTTGTGTTAATCAAAGTCTTTTACGAGCGTCTTGCTGATTACGATGTCATAACCAGTTTAAGGAATTAGTTTATCACACTTCCCGGGTTCTATCAACAAGCAACAATGTCATTTCAAGACATTTATAGACTTGAATTTTAAATCCAATGATGATGAAAACAAGAAAGTTCTTGATATGGGAGTTAAAGTATTGACAACCTAAATACACCAGATGCACAATGAACTGTGGAGCATGTGTCCAAATAGTTGGGGGTAAGTTTTGAGACGTTGATATAAACTTTCTGTTAAAATTTTTCAGTGTTTGGCATTTTTATGTATTTTTTTTTCTTTTAAAGATGTTTACATTCTAGATTTAATTTAATCACATATGGTACATAAAAAGTTGAGGTAAAATTCGCGGTAAAATTTTATCTTAAAAGTTACAATGAATCGTGTCTAACTATATCAGGGACATAAAAATGATGATTAAAATATTTTAGATCCAAGTCCATGTCTAATAAAATGAGGCTAGGATTCCTACAGAATTACAGGAGTTGGTATAAAGTACTGACAAGTGAAGTGACAGTTATATTAGAGTTGCACATATCCTGTGGAAAGGTAGGGATAGAAAGAAGTGGACAATTTAATACTTTTATTGCAAAATAGAAAAAGAATGATATTAATAGATCATAGTTATTTTTTTTATAATCTAAGAAAAAACTCATAAGATATTTTGTATCTTCATTTAGAAAAGAAAATAATATGAAATAAATACGTTTTTTTAATCTTCTTATTTCTACCATTTACTACATGTAACTGATTATCTAATAAAGTATCATATTCATAAAGGAAATTTTTTTTTGCAGTTTTATTTCTTGGCAGAGACCTATGCAACAATTTGTGAAGAGTTCAGAAGACTTTCTGGTCCACGATGACTTTGCTGTTGTTCATCAAAAAGTTCAGCTGACAAAATTCCATTCGGAACCTCAAAAATTTGTTATCCCTTTATACTAAAATACATATGTAGCATTGTCAAGTTAGCTATCAACCTCATTGCTTTTTTTTTTAACTTCTGTTAAATCATATTATACATGAAGCTTAAAACATTTCTTATCAAGACGTTTATAAATTTTATACAATAGATAAACGATCACTTGAAGACCTGTGTAAAATTTTGACCAGTGTGGTTTTTCTGTCATCTGCGTTTATCCAACGTTACTGTTGCTGTATAACAAATTTAAATTATAATATTATATTGATTTGCTTTCATACTAGAATAAATGTGCAAGTGTGATAAACCACAGTAGGATAACTTATGCAGTTGTATCTTTTTATCCGTATTTGAAATACAAATACATTGTTAACAAAATTGTATTGTGTTTTCTTTCGTTTTTCATCATTTAAATGAAAAAAAAAAAAATTCACACCATTTTTTTGTTTTATTTTTATTATGGCCCCGACTCGACAAATTTTGACTTTTTATTTTTATTTCGTCCCCTCGACCCAATTTTTTCATAAAAATTCCCGTTAAACAGAAAATAAAAAAACTCTGGCCTAAAGGTGCTGTGGGCACTGATCATTTAAAATGATAACCCCGTTTCTATTATAATTAAAATGGCAAAACCCACGTTGTTCCTAAAAGACCAAAAATAAGTGTTCAATTAGAATGTAAATATGAAATTTCACGATGACACTACTTAACAAAGATTTTCTGATATTTCTATTCAATAAAGTCATTAAGGGGGAATTGCGGGTAAGAGTTAGAAAGAATAAGATTAAGACATGACTAAATATTTATCAAAAAACGGCTAAATCTTGTATAATTTAATTTCAGTGATTTGATTGGGTTATGCGTACCATATAAATTGAAAGGAAGAAAATAATATTTCATAATTTAGAAAGGAATGTACAACAGATTACTTTGTAATAACAAACATTATACCTTTTAATAATTTTGTATTATCGTCTATATCGAATATTTCCTCATGCACCTCCAATCCTTCTGTGGATTTTATTTCCTTTATCACTTTTTTACTACATCCGAGCAGACGTTTAAGTAGCGTGGTTTTCCCCGCCCCAGCACATCCTACAATCATCCCCCGGGCGTGGTGGACTGTCTTTGTTCCTCTCTTAGCGTACTCCACATACCGCTCTCTGGCCTCCTGGTCCCATCTCAGAATTTCTTCTGGGACTTCCACTAAAGACAGACATCAGATATTAATTTTTTTCAGGATCAGGTATTTTGATACATTTATATTTTTGCTAGGCTTCTCAAAAACAGCCCTTCAATCAAAATAATCATCATTACAGCCATTCCTAAAAGGTCTTACTTCAGGATTGTCCTGACTATATTACATGTATTAATAATAACCGTACCATTATTTTCAGCGTTTACTCATTTGTTCTGTCTTTTTGTATCCTGTTCAATTGTTGTTTGAATTATAAAGCATCATATCATAAACAAGGTTTATTATAAATGCCTTGCTAAATCTTAAGAAAGGATGAAACGTTGGAAGAATTTAAACATTTATAGCTTGAATCAATTTCGGGTTTAAAGTGAAACAAAAGGTCAATTGGCCACACTTTGGTCGTGCTGTTCTTAAACACATTTTTTTTCCTTTGTAATATCTATCCTGACCCCACCCTACCCCAGGGGTCATGATTTGGACAATTTGGAATCTATTTGCCCAGAATGCTTTCGCATAAGATTTAGCTTTTCTGACACAGATGTTCTTCAGAAGAGGACTTTTAAAGGTAATTTTTATATAATTATTTAATTCTAATAAACTTGTATTCTTTATTTTGGCCCTGCCTTACCTCTAGGGATATATAATTTAAACAATTTAAAATTTACACAACCCAAGGTTGTTTCCATGTAAATTCCAGCTTTCCTGGACAAAAAGTCAATTGGCCACACTTTGGTCGTGCTGTTCTTAAACACATTTTTTTTTCCTTTGTAATATCTATCCTGACCCCACCCTACCCTAGGGGTCATGATTTGGACAATTTGGAATCTATTTGCCCAGAATGCTTTCGCATAAGATTTAGCTTTTCTGACACAGATGTTCTTCAGAAGAGGACTTTTAAAGGTAATTTTTATATAATTATTTAATTCTAATAAACTTGTATTCTTTATTTTGGCCCTGCCTTACCTCTAGGGATATATTATTTAAACAATTTAAAATTTACACAACTCAAGGTTGTTTCCATGTAAATTCCAGCTTTCCTGGCCCCGTGGTTTTTATAAAGATTTTTATTTTTTTTTTTTCTTTTTTTAATTGAATGTACATGTAAAACTTGTTGCCTCGCCCTTCCCTCCGGGGTCATGATTTAATAAATTTAGAATCTACACTACTTTAGGATAGAAGTATGGGAGCCCCTCCCCCCTCTTCCTAAAATTGCGAGCCTAGTATGATCAATCAAATTCCCTTGTTGATATTAAGAAAGCCCCATCTAGTTGGAAATAACGAAAACGGGATGATGAAAAAAAATTATTCTTGGAAAAAATTTGTATGTATTATGCAAAGAAAAATTAGAATGAAATTTTGTTACCTTGCCTTAACTGTAGTCAAATATGAGCACTTTCAAGATATGGACCATTTTCATGCTTATATACATAATTACAAATTAAAACTCCGCAATAAACAAAGGACTTGACAAATTTTAAAAACAAAATGATGAAATGTTTTGTTTTTTCACATATTTTATGCAATTTGCATCCCTCTTTTAAAAAATGAAAAGAAAATTGGAGGTAGCCTTTCTTGCAGTGAAAAGGGGGCATATCAAAGCACAAAAATAGGACTTATTTTATCCAACTAGATATTTCATAAGTTGAAATGGGTTTATATTACATCAGCAAACGATTGTGATACTATCGGGGGGCATTTCAAACAAAAATCTGGCAACTGTTTAATAAAAAATTAACAGTTTTTCAAAACTTATTGAGTTTGATATCATTGGAAAAATCAGAAAAATATATACACATTATGACGTCACTTTATAATTTTTATGACGTAATAACTCCAAAAATGACGTCAAAATATAGAATGTTTAGCATACTGAAAAGTCGCGTTTTTTTATCTACAAGAGACGAACGAATACGTGCTGCCAAAGGCTTATTTGAAAAAAAAAACATTTCAAACAAAATTTTAATTTGCAAAGAGGTAGAGTAGGACTATGATACTGGTCATCAGCAATTCCATATACATTGTATGATTTCTTTACTAGCACAATTTATGTCTGGTTATGCTATTATCGTCATTCATTCAAGATTTTTATTTACTTGATACGACTGGATTTTCGGTCTTTTACAGCTCAACAAACTTTTTAAGCTCACGTGGTTTTTTGCGCAAATTAAGGTCACATTGTTATGATATAATATTGTGTATCTAGACAACAAAATACATTCTAAATGTATTAGTTTACATAATTTGAGTTTTATTACATTAATTGAAACACAAATTAATTGGTAGAACTTTGATATATTCATCGCTGAAAAATAACAACTATTCTCATTTGAATTTTTGTATTTTCTTGCCAATTGTAACTGTCTTTTAATCCGTTCTTTTGAAAGCCATAGCTCTTGGCAGAAACGTAGACATGGGTACAGTACAGCTACTGTAACTTGTATTTTCTGTACAATTTGACTCTTTAACTCGGGGTGGTAATGGTATTTTTCATCTGTTTGACTGTTTTCTATTTTATTAAGGTGTAACTTTTAAGAGTCAACTTCTAAAATCTAGAATCATGAAAGATTCACCCCACTGCATAATTTAACTTTTCAAACCGTAAATGCAGAATAATTTTCCTTTCCATGGAAGGAATTTATACTATTAAAAAAATAAACAATACTTTATTATCCTACCCTTAAGTGTGGTTTCCTTTTGCAATATTATCCCTTTTCTGCGCCACATTTCGAAGAAACCAAGAGGAGTATGGTAAATGAGCAAAGATTTTTTTTTAAATACTCACCTTTAAGAAGAACATATAAAAATTTCAACTACATGGGATCAAGGAAAGCTCGTTTTATACAATTTGTAAAAACCTACGGTAGAACCGCCCAGGAGGCACACAACATTGAATAAACTTTGAATCAACGTTGTTTTTCTATGTTGATTCAACATTGATTTTATGTAAGATTTTGAAAATTTGTATCAACGTTGAAGTCTTCACATTGAATCAACATTGATAATCAACGTTGATTATATGTTGAAATATAGTTGATTCAACATTTATTCATTTATTTATTTTGGAAAGGGGGTGTCATATAGTAATTAGATACTTACTTAAAATTTCAACCGTTTTATTGCACGTTTGCTGAGACGCCTTCTTAATTTTGTTGAAGCGATATATAGCGACCCTCTGATAAGACAGATAACTTTCAGAGAACGAAATAGTTATACTACTCACAGTTTTCTTAATCAGTTTTCTAAGACCTTTGAGTAGTCAATTTATCAAACATGTGATGGAAGCATTACTTTCTATTTCTTTTGCAAATCTCTTTGTAATTGTTTTATTATATTAAACAATAAAACATTGAAATCCAACATCAAATGCGTAATAAAATGAATAAGTTGAATCTTTTTAAGTACCATTTTAAAAATGGTTTAATATTTCAAGTACTTAATACAGTATTTTAATTAGAATGGCTTTTTTCACATGGAGAAATATTTAGAAGAAAGATAACTCCTCATCACATATATTTTTTTTCTTACAACCACATACAGCATTGTGAATTTCTGACTTAAGAAACATCGCCCCATGATGTTTTCTAACATGATTTAAATAGGTATAATAGTCAGTATTATTTTCATATGCACCCCATATATTATATTTAATGTTCTGATAATAAATCGTTACTCTTTCTATTCTCTGTGATCAATTACTTCATTTCATGATCTACACATAAAAATCATTTCTGAAAAAAATAAGCAGCGCTTTATACTTCAAACTATTTTCCATATGGTTCTAATGTTATTGTTGTTAATGAAAATCAATATTACAAATTTAAAACTTTCTAAGGTGAAATTAATACAGAGGGTCGGAACCCCTTTAAATGAAAACATACGGTATATCACAATATGAAAAAATAATGATATTGTAAACAGTAAGTGTTTAATTTCCTATCAATAATGAATTGCGTTACAATAATTTTCACCAAAATACATTTTATAAATGAATCATTTTACAAAACCCGAGCATTTACAAACGTTTTGTATTTTCACATGTGATCACGAAATAGTCCAGAACATGAAACCATTCCATGGAAAGATGCAAATCTTATACGGTACAACTTTTGATGCACCAGATATGCATTTCGACAAATTATTTTTCTTCATTGATACTAGAACTCTGACATGCCAAAATGTTTTCTTTAAAGAGTTTTTTTTTTTAAATTAAATCTTGGTATTGAGTGGGTTGTGTTATGCTGTCTTTTTGAGTATTTTCCGGATGTCCTATTGCGTATGCTCTTAATTCGTACTTTGGCAAATTCGTAATGAATTCATATTTATTATTGAATGTGTTAAATTCCTATATTTACCTTTTTTGGTTAGTTATGATTGTTAGTAATGATATACGGTAAAGCGACTTAATTTGTCAAGTCCGACCTCGTTATGGTCCGACAGTGTTATAGTCCGAAACTATCATAGCCCAAATGATCCATCAGCGAAAAATAGGATTGGCCCCCTCAGCGAGGATCCGACGTTGAGTCAATGTTGGCAATTCAACTCAATTTAAATTCAATGTTGATTCAACGTTAAATTTTCAACGTTGAAAAGTCAACGTTGAATCAACATTGTATCTAGATTTATCAACGTCTAAACCCAACTTCAACTAATATTCAACGTTTAAACAACGTTGTGTGCCTGCTGGGCGTATAGTCGAAACATCCTATCATTATTTATAAATTGTTCTTTAAAACTTTCACTTTGGAAACTTAAGATAATAATTTAAAAAGATATTCATGCTTGGCATTATATATGTAATATAACGAAGGGTTATGCTATCGTACTGCAGTTCCAAAATGGTAATTTTTATTTCAACAGTGTGACCTTTTGTGCGAAAAACCATGTGAGCTTAATAAGTTTGTTGAGCTGTACTAGTATATAGCTGTCCATTGTTTGAAATAAAACATGTCCTGTATTAAACTGAAGTATATTAATGCAACTTTTATCAAATATATTTTGAGTAAAAGGA